TTAAATCTAAAGGATAAAGAAAAATATGTGGTTCATATCAAGACTTTACAGTATTATTTGAAAATGGGAATGAAAATGACAAAAGTCCATAGGATAATAAAATTTCAACAGAGGGCATGGTTGAAACCGTGGATTGACTTCAACACTGGTAAAAGGAAAGAAGCCAAAAGCGATTTTGAGAAAGATTTATTCAAATTAATGAATAATTCTGTGTATGGAAAAACTATGGAAGACAAACGAAATCATATGGACTTTGAATTAGTTGATAATGAAGTTAGATACGAAAAATGTGTTAATAATCCAACATTCAAAAATAGATTTATTATTAATGAAAACCTTGTAGGAGTTGAAAAAACTAAAGCGAAGCTGAAACTGGACAAACCGATTTTCTTAGGAATGACAATCCTTGACATCAGTAAATTACATATGTATCAGTTCTACTATGATGTTCTTAAGAAGAAATACAATGAAAACATCAAACTGGTTTATACTGATACTGACAGTTATGTAATTCAAACATTCACTGAGGACATCTACAAGGACTTCAAAGAATTAAACCAATATATGGACTTTAGCGATTATCCACCTGAACACCCCTGCCATGACAAAACAAATAAGAAAAAACTCGGTTATTTCAAGGATGAGTGCAACGGTCAAACAATAACACAATTCATAGGGTTAAAGCCTAAATCGTATGCTTTTACAATACACGGTGAAGAAGAAGAACAAAAGAAATCAAAAGGTGTAGTGAAACACAAGGTGAAGAAAGAACTGACTTACCAAAACTACCACGAAGCATTATTTCAAAACAAAAAGCATGAAATAACATATAATTTTATTCGTAGTCGCAACCATCAATTATTTTCAATGTCTCAAGTCAAGCAATCACTCAGTAATTATGAAAATAAAAGGTTTTACATTGATGCTTTCAATTCACTGCCTTATGGACATTATAAACTGCGTTAAAGAAAAGATAACTAAGGTTATTAATGGATAGCAGTAAATATAAAAACGCAAAGATTTACAAAATAACAGATGTTGGTTATAATAAGTGCTACATCGGAAGCACCTGTGAAAGCTTGAGCCAAAGAATGGCAAGACATAGACAAAATTATAACAAGGCAGAACAATGGAATAATAAAACAAACTGTCGTTTGTTGTTTGATGAATATGGAATGGACAACTGTAAGATTGAATTATTAGAAGACTACCCATGTGAAAACAGAGAACAGTTAATGAAAAGAGAAGGTTATTACATTCAAAATAATGATTGTGTGAATAGATGTGTGGCAGGTAGAACAATTAATGAGTGGAAGGAAGACAATAAGGAACACTATCAAAATATGAGGAAGGAATACGCAGAAAACAACAAAGAACATATATGTAATAAAAGTAGGGAGCACTACCACCAAAACAAAGAAACAATATTGGAAAAACGAAAAGAACCTATTGAATGTGAATGTGGTGGTGTTTTCAGGAAATGTGATATAAGAAGACACGAGAGAACTGAAAAACATCAACGATATGTATGTGAAAATATTAATATCTAAATAGTTCTAATAATATATGCACTTATTAGAACTATTTAGTGGTACTTCTTCAGTTGGTAAAGTAGCAAAGTCGCTCGGTTATAATGTTATATCATTGGATTTGAAAACGGTGGGTAAACTCCCCAATTAAGGGGGGCGAACTCCCCAATTAAGGGGGGCGAACTCCCCAATTAAGGGGGGCGAACTCCCCAATTAAGGGGGGCGAACTCCCCAATTAAAGGGGGGCGAACTCCCCAATTAAGGGGGGCGAACTCCCCAATTAAGGGGAGAATGGCTCAAGTAACAAGGTCTGGCTCACACAACACAGTCAGGCTCACACAACACAGTCAGGCTCACACAGCAAGGTTTGGCTCACACAGTAAGGTCTGGCTCGCACAGCAAGGTCTGGCTCACACAGACATTTAAATTAAACCTGAAACCCAGACCAGTCGACCAGCAACCCCTAGCCAAAACTACTTAAAGAGAAAAACCTTATATATTAAGAGAAAAATGAGTAAGGGTAAAATGTCAGAGAATAATTTTATGGATGAGAATTGCGCTAGCTTACCTGAAGGCTTAGTTTCAATCATCACTACTTACATTAATGGTAGTGAAGGGTGGCGAAGACTGAAACAATGTGATGCTTTAAGAGAATTACAAAGGAAATGGAAACCGTCTATTTACACTGAACGAGTAGGAGAAAGTAGATATTATGTTGAGATTCGCAATAAATGCTTAAAAGGTGATAAAGCGCTTTCATATGCGTTGAAACCACCAAAAGAATTATTAAGAATGATGAAGTATGATGAAGAAATACAGGTTGGAATAGTAGTTAGTTCGAAAATTATGTATAATAATAATATTTGCAACAGTCGTTCTTATTCATCATCTAAACAGAATAAGATTTCAAGTAGAGCGTCATTACAATACCATATTGAACAAGCAGTTGAAGAAACCAAACAGACTATGAAACGACACGAAATCATTACTATCGAACATGTTGCAATTGAAATTTATAGAAAACAGAAACAATGATTTCATGGCTTAATCATAATATTTAATTATAATATGATTAAACAGTGTAAACTTTTATAACCTTTCATTATACTGTAATTTTAACCTATAACAAAATTTCATTAACAAAACATATATCAAAACAAATACACCACCAACACCCCAGAACTTGATAACTACTAAAAGGGTTAACTCTTTCAAATGAAAAAAATGTTTGCCCCCAGCCCAACAATGAACAAGGGGGGCAATTACCAAAATGATTACCTTAACGAAAACGATAAATAAGCTCCCTAAAAACCCTCTTTTAAAAACGAATAAGGGGGAACATAGATTTGAGATGAACATAAAAACCAGAACAGGCAACCATCAACAGACTTCCCCCCAGGCCCCCTACTTCTTCTATTTTTTAGGGGGGGGGGTTATCCTCTATCCTCTAGTAAGTATCCGACACGCCGAGCAATGTCGGCGGATATTGGTCTCGCTTGCCCAACGGAACTGGAGTCAAACAGTCTCCGTTCGGCGCTGAACATAGACCATGTGCAAGAGGTCAAAAGGTGGCAGTCTCACATCAAGTTGCACTTCTTGTGTTCAAGCCGTCAAGACATTGTCCGTGCATTTGTTGGATCAAGGCAACTTCTGTGATACAGATAGTTGATTTTCAAGCAAACGGATTTCGGTGAGAAGGAAATATTGAGAGGTACAACTTCCACTTCCATCACACGCAGGGGCACTTTCTGGATGAGTCATCGCGGCGCACTCAGAGCTGATCTCACATCACTCCATGGAAGGAAGCTTGGGTGGCCCAAAGCCATACAAAACATCCATTTGCTTAATAACAAATTTGTTATCTCTCCTTTTGGTGTTACAGGGAAGCTATCACTACTGGATTGATTTTTGTTCAGGGGGATTTGTTATTTCCTTTTTTTTTGTCTTAGAGGGAAGCTATCACTACTGGATTTTTTGTTCAGGGAGATTTGTTATTTTCCTTTTTTGTCTTAGAGGGAATCTATCACTACTGGATTGATTTTTGTTCAGGGGGATTTGTTATTTCCCTTTTTGGTGTTGCAGGGAATCTATCACTACTGGATTGTTTTTTGTTCAGGGGGATTTGTAATTTCGGATGTCTTTTGTTCAGGGGGGGGTGTTATTTCCCTTTTTGGTCTTACAGGGAATCTATCACTACTGGATTGTTTTTTGTTCAGGGGGATTTGTAATTTCGGATGTCTTTTGTTCAGGGGGGGTGTTATTTCCCTTTTTGGTCTTACAGGGAATCTATCACTACTGGATTGTTTTTTGTTCAGGGGGATTTGTAATTTCGGATGTCTTTTGTTCAGGGGGGGTGTTATTTCCCTTTTTGGTCTTACAGGGAATCTATCACTACTGGATTGTTTTTTGTTCAGGGGGATTTGTAATTTCGGATGTCTTTTGTTCAGGGGGGGTGTTATTTCCCTTTTTGGTCTTACAGGGAATCTATCACTACTGGATTGTTTTTTGTTCAGGGGGATTTGTAATTTCGGATGTCTTTTGTTCAGGGGGGGTGTTATTTCCCTTTTTGGTCTTACAGGGAATCTATCACTGCTGGATAGATTCTTGTTCGCTGAACACGAGCCGCTTTCCGGGCTTCAGGCGCCGCTACACGGACTTCCCCACAGGCAGCCCTCCAGTACTCAGGCGATGCGGTTTGAGGGTGGGAACGAACCGATTATGTGGAACGCGGTGTGGATTTGTTCATGCGCGCTGGGGCTAGTTTGCAGCTCCAACCCTAAAACAGAAAGCTGCAATATGCAGATTTCACCGTTGGTTAACAAAAGTGTGGGAGCGAAACAAAGTGTGGGGGGAATTGACGGAACCTCGATGGCTTCTGTTTTGTAGTCGTAGAATGGCAACCATTTCGGCCTTGGATGTTTCTTCTTCGAGTGTGTCTATGGGCAACCTCGTTAATTAGCTTTCCGTTAATTGGTTTGGATTGGTGGTTAGGGGATTGAACCTCTGGTTGTAGAGGTCTTCTCCTTAGCCACCAAACCACCAATCCAAAGTCACTTAGCGGGCATCCTCGTTGAAGAGGTTTTCAATAATTTCGCAGTGGTTTGGATTTGTGGTTAGGGGGTTTGAACCTTTGGGCCTTTGTTTTTTCTTGGAGTTTGTCCCGAAGCCTTGTTCAACAAGTCGTTTCCTTTTGGCTTTTCCTTTAAACCGGGTCCAGCCCGCGGCGAGGGAAGAGCACTTACCGCTCCTGCTCCAGGCGCGAACCGGGCACTTACCGCCTCTTTTTCGGGTCTCCCAAGGTTCTTTAGAGCGTTTCGGGGGTGCATCGTAGATTTTTCTGCAGTGACTTGTATGAAGAATACTTCCCCATAATATGCGTGCGTGGCTGCTATGAGCCCTCCTGGAACGAGGCCCTGGCTCATTTAATGAAAGTTCCTGCTTAGTTTCCACAAAAGATGGTCCCACCTGGCCATGGACGAGGTTACCCTCGATGGCGCTCGTACAAGCCCTAAACCCTATTCTAGCTTCCCCACACTTCTGGCTCTGAGTCATCTATGTATTAACTCCAGTTCACTTGTGGATGTTTCCTGTGCATCATCCTCGGTCAGAGCGAATCAACCACCTCACTACAAAAACCGATGACAAATGGGCAATGTTGCCAGGGTGTCGGTTGCGGGTTGTCCTACACCTTTTTTGACAACCCTACTTGGATGTTGAACCCACCTAATAAGATGGTTACAGCGGACCATCCCCAGGTACCCCAGCTATACCCATGATCATGATTTACTTGCTTATTGGGTTAAAGAGTTGAACTTTTATTTTGGGACCTATGAGGGATGTGTGATGTACTGATGTACTGATGTACAGTTGTTTTGCAGCCTAAAGCCACTGTTCCCCCGCTGGGGCGGCCTTCAGACCTCACTTGAGGCTTTGAATCATCCAGTCCTATGGTTTCCACTTTGGGGGCAGGGGGGTTCCACTTAGGAGCCCAAGCGTGGCAATGAGTACTTAGCCGTTGTTTGCGGCTCAGTCCAAACGATGTGGGAGTGTCTTGTTTGAGGGTAACTAGTAACCATCCTAAGGCTGTTTCAAAGGGAAGCCAAAGGAACCACTTCTTTCATGGGTTTCCCTATTTCGAGGCAAGCCCACGCACAGGTCCGGTCGCAGCATCCGATCATCTTCGCGCGGAAGTTCGACGGCAGCACGGGTGCGGTGAGCTAGTTGCAAGCGGCAAGCTGGGACTTTCCTTGGAAAGACTTTACCCAAGTCTTACATGGGAAATGCGTAGGTTTTTCCTATTTTGCGGAATGCTTTTCCCAAGTGGTTTTCCCCCAAGTGCCTTTGGGCAAGGACAACAGCCCAGGCAATTGCGTAGAGGTCCCAAGAGGTTGACCCCATCTAGAAAGAACCGTGCCAAAGGGCCCCTTCAATGAAGAGTATGGTCTTCCAGGACCCTCCGTTCGGGTTGGCTCAAATGCCAGGTATCGATGTCGCAGCACTCCAGCGATCCACCAATCAGTTGGTGCCAGCACCAGGCGAACGAGTGGCTAAGAGAATGCAGCGGTCAGTGTCGTGGAATTTCACTTGGCTGGAGGTTGTTTGCAACCGTGACCCTACTGTGGATGGACAAAATCCTGCACCACCTAAGAAACCCTGGAATGACAAATCCCCTGCAAATACCAACAAACAGTGGTTATTCATGGTTTTAAACTGGTGCAGGATTTCGTCCATCCACAGTATATGTTTGAATGTCCAACTCGCTTTGTAAGCGAGTTACGACCATAAAGACGTCAAGGCAGATCGAACATTTGGGTGACACCGTGCCCCACAGAGCGGTGCCAACCTGTAAACAGCTCCCTCTTGAAGGCAGGATGGATGTGAACTAACACAGTAAGTAGGTTAGAACCATAGTTTAAACCTTTGGTGCATTTTGCTTGGATGTTAGGATTTCTTTAACTTTTTGCCAACTAATGGGTTTTCCATTAAACCACTAAAAGTTAAACTTTTAGCAGAGGAGCAGAAAGCAACCGAGAAACGAGGTATTTGGCGCCACTTCACCGGATGTGACCTACTATTTGATGTTGACATGCAATGTAATTTGTGGGACACCATCACCTTGTGCCTTTAGGGGAAACCAAACAGGGCGCCTGTAGACACGGTGCGTCAAGACCCTCGCCGGAAGTTCTTTTCATGCTGGTTGCCGTGCAAAGACGCATGTCCCCGAAGTGAAAGTCTCGTATGTCTCGTTTTGTTGGCTAATATTCAGACATGGTTCCGAAACCAGATGGAATCATAATTACGACATAAGCCTGGTTTCATGTTGGGAGCCAGGATGTGTGTTTTCTTCATGCACTGCCATTGGGATCTCCATCGATCCTCCACTACTGCACCCTGGCGGTCCCTCTCATCACACCATCAGTACTTCAGGTTTGCTTCAGAAGAAGCACGATTTCTGCGCGCTCAGTGCCACAGTCTTCCTTTGCCACAACAGAATGGATCCTTCATGCCAGTACGCGAAGCTTCAAATTGGGCAAAGCGACATCCACAAATAGGTGCGCGGTTGCTTTTTGGACGCTTTGCAGGTATTGTTTGGGTAGACTCTAGTTCAATTGCCAGGCGTTGATTTTGATGACTCCTCTGGTGCTTTGCCACAGCCATGCTTATGCAAGATTGGATTTGAGGTTGTCCTTTTGTGTAAAGATAATAGCTTCAAATGCCATGAAAGTAGTTATGAGGCGAATTTGGGTTTTTGCGCCCAAATTGATGAAGGGCCCGCTTTCTGTGTCTACAATTCCTGTGATTTTCCTTAGTGGGAAAATTGAAGTCATGTACAGTACTGGCTGGTGTGGGGATGAGACAACGTTTGATTTTGGGGTTTGAACCCCAGTTCCATTTGGAGCAAATGGGGAAGGTATCCCCTACCTTCCAAACCACCAAACCAAACCACCGAGTAGGGGGAAGCTGACACTGGCCGCCAAAGGGGAAACTACAACCGTGGTGCTTCAACCGGTGCTTCATGTGGAAGCTGGTGCGGGCTGTTCCGCTTGACACCTAGGGGAAACCTACACAAATGGCACTGCGCATGTCCATAGAACCAAAACGCGGGCCCTCCAAATACAGATTCCGCCACTGGTGGATTTTGGGGATCCGTTTCTTCCGTTGACTGGTCGGCAGGTTTAGTTTTTAACGGGGTCACCGGGGCCCAGGATGAAGACCCCAGATGAGCAGCGCGGTCCCACAAGCACCGGCGGGACCATTTTTGCAGGGTCCACTTTGCTTCGCCAGGCCGCCATACAACAGGGCTCCTTAATAGATACATGTTGCCCATTTGAAACATGGCTTTTTCCACCACACACCATTTGCAAGGCAATTGTGAGGTGTATAATGTAAGGATCCCTGTACAAGTTGTTAGAACCAAACGTTGTTTGTTTCAGTCGCATCTCAGTCGGTGAACTACAGTACTCAGTTCTCCTATTCACTCTTAAATGTCTGTTTTTATGACAGTTTCACCGATAGCAAACAGGATGAGCAAGCTGAACGGGGCAATCTGTCCCACTGGGTTTGGAGTAATGTTCCCTTTGAACAAGCCCAAGAAAACCAAAAAGCGCTACGTTCAAAAGAGACACACCCAAAAAGCCGATCTATTGATCCTTTCCCGGCGTCTGTTTGTTCAGGGAGATCACCATGAATATGTCCCCGACTGAAACACTGCCAGGTGATTGGTCGCCTGTGCTGGCTGCGCTTGGTCTGGCATCAAACGCAGGCACGTGAGGGGCAGAGGGTTTGGGATATGGTGACTTTTTGAGGACTTTTCCGAGGGGTTGTGGTGGATGAACGGCATACTTCCCCAGGGTTTCATTTCCACTCGCTTCCCGAGTATCTGGACTTCATTTTTTTGGGGAAGGATGAACGGCACTAGTTCGGGGCTCCTCTTGGGCCAGAGCTGCCTTGAGTCCAGCCAGCAGCAGGCTTGAGGCCCACGCAGTCGGATTGCGCCTGGTTGCATAGCTTGGTCCAGCAACTTTCCTGGGGGGGTTGCTCAAACTAAAGTTTTTTGTTTTTTGTGTGTTTTTTTTGGGGGGGTGGGGCAACCCCTTGAACATCAGGCAAGAAACAGGGGCCGGTTCTTCCCGAAAACTCAGGTCTGGGCCCCGAGGATGGCCCTTGAAGATTGAAGGGGTGCCAGGCTGTTTGTGTTTTTCTCGGGTTCCTTCTGGAGAGCTGAGCCGATGTTCCCTGTAGTCCTTTGGGAGGCTTTCTGGTGTCTTGTCGCAAGAAAGGTGGCCAATTCTCACTACCAGTAGGCATTCCTAAGCAGTTTAAGATTTCACGGTAAACATGAAGCAGAACTTTATAGTATTACTTACCTGGATGTTCCAAATCATGGCAAATTGTTCGAAACAATCCGGAGACTACCACTCATTTAAGGGTCTCAGTGAAAAAGCTACATGGAGAACAGGAAAAGAAGCCGAGAAAAATCACCCGGAGACGGTGTTGCCGAAGTTTGACGGTTTAAAATCCGGAGAACGGGGACAAACCGAGAAAGAGCCCGGAGACGGCGGACCTACTGATGTTGCCCCAGATGCGACCAGAACCCCAGACCCCTGGGAGCCGATCAGGTGGGTCCCAGCTTCTCAGCTCCCAGTCCGTCTTCGATGCTGCCCCCGCGGACTTTCGCCTCACGGCGGCCCGGGCTTTCACGCCCCGGCCTCAGCTAGGTCCCCCAGCGAGGTGCCGGCTCTTTTACCCATTTTTTGGTTGGGAGATTGGGTTCCCCTACTCAAATAGACTGCTGAAAAACAATTGGTGCCGGACTTGTCTAACCTCTGGAGGACCTGGGCAGTTTGAGGCCCCGGATGAAGTTTTGCTCCTGAGAGAGTGCGAAGGGCGCGGGAGAGTTCCTCATTTTTGGGCCCAGACTCTTGGGGTTTGCACCAGCTCCGTGCATGTGCTTTCACTTTGAGGACTCTAACAAGATTAGTTTTCTGGTTGGTTCCCTTCAAAAAGAAAAATCGGAGGACACCCTGTAAATGCTGAACTCATGGCAGGTAAAATGATTACCCTGGTGATTCCAACCGTTGGGTGCGTCATTTTTTCGGGGAACCTATGCTTGGTTGGTTTGCGACATGGGGGATCCTTTCCCCAGTCACCCCATTGATACCATGGCTTCATCATCCGCGTGGGGCGAACATCCAATTTTCTTTCCACTGGGCATCTGGCGCAAACATACATCGTCGTTTGGGTTTGCGTTTAACAAAAAAAAAACGGGCCGGGATTGCCAAGAACCAAGTTGGCTGGCTTCCTTGTTGTTTTACTTCAGAAGGTAAACAGTTGGTATCTGGACGGAAACACACCCGAGAGGTTGTTCAGATGGCCGATTTGTTAGAAGTTAAGGGTCTGGACCCCCAAAAACACTTGCCCTATTTTGGCATTGCGAAAAACCACTGCATGGATTGCGCACCCAAGATGCGGGAATTGCACGAAGATGATTTCCGGGGTAAGGGAAGTGGAATCTGTCCGGCTCCAAGTCTATGGGTCCCTGTTTCTTTCAAGTAACATCCCCTGTTCGTCAAGAATCCTGATTTGCTCAAGTAAACCCCGTGCAAGCCCATTGGGAGCCAAAGGGGGGTATCTACCAGGGTTCTTCAAATGCAATCCAAAAGATCCTGGCCTTGGGTTACGGAAGGATTTGCTTCCCAATTGAATCGTATTTGTTTTGGGATGGTTGAAACTCGGCTTGAGTGACCCTTCACTTTGTTCGAAACTGGGCTGGTTCTGCGATTGCTAGATACACGCCCTCTGTGAGAAAAATGCCGGCTTCTCTGCTTGAGTTTCTTCTTTGCGCATGGGAACTGTCATTGCAGGGACCTGGGGTCTTTATGTCTTGGTGGCCTTGGCTTTTTAGCCTCTTAGTGTTTAGTGGGGATTTGCATTTAACCCACTAATAGTTAAACTTTTGGCGGGGGATCCGGGTGTATTGGCGTATGTCGACGTGGGTTGTTTGTGTTGAGGGTGCCTTCTGAAGGTTAGTTTAGAGGCAAACCACAAGTAAGATCGAAATCCATTTTGTGGATCCCCCTATTTGGGCACACCAATGTGAGGCACCGTCAAAATTGCCGTTGTTGAGTTGAGTGTTCGGCGTTTCATTGTGAAAATGCACAACAAAATCCATGGCACCTGATTCACTGATAGGAGACTCGCAAAACAATTACCCCCGGAAGCATTCATCTTGATACCCGCATGTCTTTGGTTTACGCAGGGGGTTGGACAACATTTCTGCAGAAAGGCCTGTTGGAACGCGATAAGGGCCAATGTCTCTTTTGTAAAAGAGGCAGGTCAGCCTCCCATTGCTCAAATTCCTCCCTTCCTCCCTTCCTCTCTTCCCTTTCTCTCTTCCGCTTCTCTCTTGCCTTCTCTTTGTCCTTTCTCTCTTCCTCTCTTTCTCTCTTCCCTCCCTGCCTGCTTGCTCTCCCCCTTGCTCCCTTGCTTCCTTGATCGCTTTCCTTCGTCCTTCGTCCTCCTCCTCGGTTTGGGCCCATCGGCGGGAAACCCATCAGGCTGAGCATGGGCTTCGCCACACGACAGGCGGGGGGAGGGGAGCCTTACATGTGGACCGGTGTCTCTTCTGTTTTTTGTTCTTTTTTTTCTGAGGACGCCCTTCATGGACGTGCTTTTCAACCGAGGTTTCCCGAGTTTTCGGAGACAACCCCCCTTTGCCCTGTTTGGCGGATGCAAGTGTAATTCACTGGGTTGACAAAGTGAGGTGACGTTTCAAGGTAAAATATAAGAAGCCCTGAGCGAGCGGTTTATTCAGTTTCGATGGTTTGGACAGTCACATGGGTCACTTTGCACTACTCTGCCCCTTCATGTCTGTCGCCAGCACTTCGCACGGGCCGGCTTGAACCAAGGCAGCTTTGATGCTGTGCTGCCTCATGAATTTGGTCTCTGTGTGTGTGTGTGTAGAGTTTTGTTGGGCTTGCGTAGCCACCAAAAGTGCCACACTCGAGTGCGATGCTTATGAATGCCCCTTTTAGGAAGGATCAACCAGTGCACTTGCATACAAATTAAGTTTTCCGTTCAGTGGTTGGCACTTTGCAATGTTGGGATTTGAAGGAAAATGGCTCTGGTCAGGGGATCCAGTTGCGGAGTTCCTAGCCACAAGCATCTACCAAGAGTGTGGCTATGGCCATGCCGCATGGCCAGGCTTCCTTGTGGACAAGTTGTCTGTGTTTATTGGTCATGTGCGCCAGCTTCAAACCCAAGTCCCGCTGCACTTTAGGAAGCTACGTCACTTGGGGGAAAGGGAAATTGATTCCTCTCCAGTCACCCCTTTTTGCGAGCAACCCTGTCTGACAGAGGATTCACCACCAGACCCCCCCAACCACAGCCCTCAAGGATACACTACAACTAAATGGCCCAGAATTCTTGAACTCGGGGAAGCCAAAAGGGGCATGGTCGTTTCTTCGTCATTTTTCCAGACCGCCTTTTTTTGACGCCGACGAACGCCCCACGTATTCGCTTCGACTCGAGCGTCAGGCGCGTGCTCAGGGCACTCTCCGTTTGATCGAGCGCTATGCGATGTCCAAGGCGGCCGGCAAAAGCGGGCGGTCGCTGCGAAATGGAAAGCGGGGGGAATGTGAACCCCGGATGAACAGGGCTGTTTCGATGACGATACGGTTCGGTACCGCAAGCTCCACGATACCACTCGATTTTATTGATATGTATTGCTTTGAATATCCGATAAACTTGCGATACAGCAGGGGAGTATTGAACAATATCTCGATAAAGGAATATACTCAACCGCTGCGGCTGCGTTGCGGCTGCGCGCTGGTGTGCAAGCTGCCTGCCAACAGGCCGGGAACCTTGAATTCGGCGTGTTGTGTCGCCAAAAGCCCGAAAGAAGCAAGAATCGAAACTGCACCTCTGCAGGTGCCAGAGCAAGAGACGACCCACTACACCAAAGTACTCTTACAAGCCTCCTCAAAAAAAGGTATTTCGACGACATTCATTTTGGTCCGAGTGGTTGCAGCTGTCCTGGATGAGCACTTCCCGAACCCTCAAAAACGATCTAACTCGCCGCGTTAGGTTGATTTCTGGCCTTGGCTGGTTGCAGCTGCCCCGGATGAGCCCTGAGAAGTGGGAACCCTCAAAAACGATCTAACTCGCCGAGTTAGGTTGATTTCTGGCCTTGGCTGGTTGCAGCTGTCCCGGATGAGCCCTGAGAAGTGGGAACCCTCAAAAACCATCTAGCTCGCCGAGTTAGGTTGATTTCTGGCCTCGGCTGGTTGCAGCTGTCCCGGATGAGCCCTGGGAAGTGGGAACCCTCAAAAACGATCTAACTTGCCGAGTTAGGTTGATTTCTGGCCTCGGCTGGTTGCAGCTGTCCCGGATTGAGCCTTGGTAAGCGGGAACCCTCACAAACGGTGTTGCTTGCCTAGTTTGGTTGGTTTCTGCTGTCGCAGCTGTCCCGGATGAGCCCTGGGAAGTGGGAACCCTCAAAAACGATCTAACTCGCCGAGTTAGGTTGATTTCTGGCCTTGGCTGGTTGCAGCTGTCCCGGATGAGCCCTGAGAAGTGGGAACCCTCAAAAACGATCTAACTCGCCGAGTTAGGTTGATTTCTGGCCTTGGCTGGTTGCAGCTGTCCCGGATGAGCCCTGAGAAGTGGGAACCCTCAAAAACGATCTAACTCGCCGAGTTAGGTTGATTTCTCTGGTTGCAGCTGTCCCGGATGAGCCCTGAGAAGTGGGAACCCTCAAAAACGATCTAGCTCGCCGAGTTAGGTTGATTTCTGGCCTTGGCTGGTTGCAGCTGCCCCGGATGAGCCCTGAGAAGTGGGAACCCTCAAAAACGATCTAACTCGCCGAGTTAGGTTGATTTCTGGCCTTGGCTGGTTGCAGCTGTCCCGGATGAGCCCTCGGAAGTGGGAACCCTCAAAAACGATCTAACTCGCCGAGTTAGGTTGATTTCTGGCCTCGGCTGGTTGCAGCTGTCCGGATGAGCCCTGGGAAGTGTTCAACATGGAATCGGTTTGAAGCAATCTCAGTCTGTTTTCTTGGCTTTCCATTTCTCCAAAGAGGGTCTCTTCAAAGCAGCCTCTCAAAGACTTTGCCAGCGCCTCCCGTGCCAGGCAGCCACCAGCACAGCAGCAGCTGGCTGCCGCCCTTCTGGCCCCAAAGGGCCCCTCAAAGCAAACCCCAACCGATACCGATGCAAATCGGTATGATTCAAAACGATTTGCAGCGATAGTCTTCGATACGATGTGAGGTTGCGATACTTGCTTTTCGATACCGATAGCTCGCAATACGCAACGATACGATTCGGTATGTTGTATTTGTATTGTTGAAACGACCCTGATGAAGTTAAACCCCTTTGTTGATGTTGATTGGGGGGTGTCCTCTTTTAGTGGGGATTCATCACTTTTGGAGGGGACACCCCCCTAATAATGGGACGAGTTTTCAGGTTAGCCCCCAGTCCGCGTTTCCATAAAACCAGTCGGGGTCCGGGACGACGATTTTCTTCTTGAAAAGGACCTTTCTGATGGATTCCACGTTGGCCGAAAGGGGATCAACCCTATGGGCCATCCCTGAAAGTTTCCCTTAAGATCCATTGGGATGTTTCAGGGCGCGCAAAAAGTGCCAACCAAGAGGAAATGATTGGAGAACCAAACAACTCTGGAAAATGGGAGGCCCAGTCGGCCGGTGCTTTGCAGCCTTTGCACTCAACCCCGAAGTGCAGCCCATGAGCAATCACTGAGGCCAAGAAAGGATGTTTTTCTGCTCGGAAATCCAAAACCACAGGACTGACTAATTTTATCCATGTCCACGGGGAGCTTTGCATGTGACACATTGCTTTCCGACAGTCAGGGAGATAGTATCCCCCCCCTGCCCGGATGCCAGCAAGGCTCCTTACAATGGGATTGTGGGGTAACTCGAGATCCTACGGATGGCGCAGTTGGTGTGATCCCATGTGACACGAACGCCTGGAAAAGTCAGGACTACGCCATCTTCCCACGCTGGCTCCAGCCTCAGCATTGCAACAAGGATGCTGCAGCCTATTGTCCTTGGTTTATTGTGGGTTTCCCACTAAAATGGTCATCCCTGAACTGAAAGGGTGCCGTGTTTGCCAGCGTCACACCGGTTGCACCTGGTTGGTCACCCCCCCCCCCCCCGCCCACACACAGACACAAAAAAGGTTGCGATTTCAGGCCACCGCCCATGTGAACTTTTACTTGCAGCTGAACAAGTACACACATTATCTTACGATTCACAACTTGTTGTTTAACAATTTAGCCCCTTTTTCGTTGCTGTAATCATTTGGGGTAGGGCCCTCGTTGGATTTAAGTCGGCAATTGTCCGTTTGTTGCTTTTAGGTATCATGATGGAGAATGGTTTCATTTTTTTGGGGGGCAGCTTCAGCAAATGGAAGATGACATCCTTACGAAACAAAGTATAGTAACAGGGGCCCCTCTTGTCACCAGGCGATTTTGTACGAGACCGCTCAACATGAGTTGCATTCTGGGCAGGTGAGCAACTGACAAAATGATTGGCGGTCTATTGCTATAGGTTGTTCGATAACATCGCAGGGCATACTCAAGTATCCTTCAAAAAAGAGGGTTCGGGCAGACAATCTGCTAGGTAGTTCACCTAGAAAGACTCTTGTGACAAGAGTCTTGTCTCGTACATGCAGGAAAACAGCCGCAACCACCTTTTTTTTTAGCTGTGGGTGTCGGCAAGTGTCATGCATAGTTTCCTGGTGTCTGTGTCCACGGGTCGGTGAGCTCTCTTGACTCCCGGCTCCACCGGGCCTCGACTTGTCCCAGAGGTCGGGTTTCGGTTCATGCCGCTCACACGACATGGCGCGTGCACCTTAGATTGCCCTTTATTCAACCAAGCCAGACGATGTCCGGAGCTTTTTGTGGTTTCCTGGGAGGATCTTGAAAGACTGTGGGAACTTAATTCCTGGGACTCCTCCCGTGGTCGGTTTTGGTATCTTACCAACGTCTTGGGCCCCTTTTGACCCGCAGAACTTGCCTCCAAGTCGGCTCGAACAGGATTCGAGTTGGGACCGGCTCGATGCCTCAGGGGGTCACTCGCAACGTCGCAGGCTTCGGGGGTTCATGTCCGAGCACTTGTGAGTGGGTTCCCTGAAGTGCATAGGCATTAGACTGAGGACTTTGTGCTGGGAAGACACACTTTTTTGGTCAGGATTGGGGCTTGAATGGCTTCGGGGTTAGGCCCCTTGTGTTATACAGATTCGTGGATTCCATTTCAACAGCCCTGTTCTTGGGGGAGCTAAGACTTTGGCCAACCTGAGTTAATGTTGACCCCGTAGCAAAATCAACCAACCGGAGTATTTATTGGGGGTGGTGCTTTGCCCTGGGTGCAATGTGGGGTTTCAGACCAATTTTTGAGGGGCCCCCCCCCACGAATTTAATTGGACAAACGATGGAAGCTGATGCTTTTTGCTTTGGAGCCTGAGAGGGAATACTCTTCGGAAGAGTTGGGACGACTTCTTCAGGATGGGCTGGTCGTGCTCCCTTCAGGTTTTGCCTTGGCAGTTGTTGACTTATGTCCGGTTTGATACATTCCCTTTTGTGTTTTAGAAACATTGGTGAGGATTCCGCCTATGGGCACCATGGCCATGACTTGTGGAGTATGGGAACCATGTCACAGTTGGCGAGTCGTTGTGCAGATAATGTTAACCCCGGATGAATAAACCCCTGGTTGGTGGTGTCCCCTTTTAGTGGGGATTCATCACTTTTAGATTGAACCCCCCTAGTAATGGGACCGGTTTATTAATCCTGGGTCAACATGAAGGGGCCTGGCCTTTTCGCTGTCAGCACGATGCCAATGCATTTCAGGTAGCTTTGCCTTTTGGCCGCCCTTTGGGAGAAACACCCAGAGACCTCCCTGACGTGTTTTGCACGTTTCACATATCCGTTAGTCTTTCGCGTTTTTTTTGTTTTTCCGTTTTTTTCTTTTTTTTTCTTTTCTTTTTTTTTTCCGGATGCATGGGAACTCCAAATCGCCCAACAAAGCCTATGAAGACTCTGATTTCAGTAGAGTCTACAGTGCTTGTGAGCAGCACAAACTGAACATGATGTCTAACTTCGAAAGGTGCCTTGATGGGTTTGTTTTCCTACCAAAGGGGCCAGCTGAGAAAGAGAGCGGCCTATGACATACTATGCTGGTCTTCACAGTGTTTTGCAAGCATTTGGAGCTGTAAAAAGTACATTTCTGTGAGCGGCTTGTGGTGGTTTATTTAAAGAAGAAAGAAAAAGAAACAACAAACACATTTGGAGCTGTAAAACAACTACGCCCCCGTATTCAAAAATGAAAACAAGAAAACCATATTTAAAACAAAGAGAATAAACAAGAAAAACAACTTCTGAGAACCGGTCCCTATGCAAGGAACCACTTGGCCTCCCCAGTTCCTTGCGAAGGCTGGGACCCTGGCAGCCTGCAGTTCCGGGGGCAGTGCTCCGCGGTGAGCCGGGAGGCCCCACCGATGGGCTTCGAGGTCCCCCGTTTCAACGGGGGTGTTCAGGTTGGCGTTCAGGGAAGCCAAAGGACGACCTTCTATTTTGACAGACCCAAATGGGTATGGGTCAAAATTAAGGATCCCCCCGGAAAACCGCAGGTTTTAGTGCTTGGTTCCATTGACTAGGGTTCCATTTTGGGTACCTATTTTTGACCCACAGCCAAATGGGTTCTTGAAAGAATGGTGCTAGATGCGTTTTGTTGAATGGACACCAAGAATTGTGATAAGCATGTTGTACTCTCAATTGAGCACCCTCAATTTGGTTTCCACAAGACGCCTTTTTCCAAAAGGACTCTGAAGTCAAGATTTCTTGGTTGGTAAACTCGAGTTTTGCCAGGGAGGTGATACCGGGATACCTCCAAACCCAATGTTAAGCTGGTTGCATTTGTTGCCCACCTGGGGTGGCTGGAAACTGGTGCCTGAAATTTCAGCCCACTTCCAATCCCTTGCTCAGTTACCCTCCATGGAATTTGGAGGGAGTCCTGGAAGACCATTCTCTCCAAATGGACCCCTGTGGTGGTTTCCATGTTGGTAGGTCCTGCGTAGATCCGAGGTCAACCTAAGTAACCTAGCAAGGTTGATTCGGGAGAACCGTGACCAAACTGGTGAGCAGCTCATGGGTTTGCCTTCCAGAGTAGCTTCCAGCCCCAAAACATATCTTCGTTTGGTGGCTGCAACCGGGTCGGGCTTTGCTTCCGATTCGAGACGATGGAACCTGGGTTCTCGCCCAAGAAAATGAACCCGCGGGAAACCTGAGTCAGGGTTTCAGGAATCTCTTGTAGGTTCTCAGCCCCTTTCGGGCTTTTCAAAAACAAACGCGTGTCTTTTGTGTAGTGGCTGAAGCCGGTTCCGATGTCGGAAGCCCAAGGAAAACTGCGCCAAGCCCCCGTCACAGGCTTCCCAGGGACTCCGCGCAGTCTTCTACTGGGAGCCCCGCGAAGACCCGCGGGAGATGCAGATCCGCAACCCCGGCCAGAGTTGAGTTCGTTGAGGTCGTGAAGGTCCAAGAGAAGCCAGCCCGATGGCTCCTTCTACATGGAGACAATTCCATTTACTGAAATGAATAGATACATATATATATATATGTATTTATTGATGATTTATGTATTTAATTTTCCCCTGTTGGTTTTAAAGGGAATCTATGACTACTGGACATATGTATATATATATATATGGCAGTGAACTTTTTTGAGGGGTCTGTAACAGAGCCGCGGCGGACATTCGTTACAGACCTCGTTACAGACCTCTGTAACAAAACCAGCTGGCTCGTTACACACCCCTCATTACACACCCTCGTTACACACCCTCGTTACACACCCTCGCTACACACGCCCTTGCTACACACGCCCTCGTTACACACCTCCGAACAAACCGGGCCAGTGACGTGACTGCCCTCTTTTTGCCGCAGCTTGGCTTGCGTTGAGTAGCTGCAATCAAGTGCTTTGCTTTGCCTCGTTACAGACGTCGTTACATAGCCATTACATACCTCGTTACAGACCCAACCCCAGCCCGTGCCAGCGACCCCGCAGCTTGGCTTGCGTTGAATAGAGCTTCGCTGCGCTTCGCTTTGCCTCGTTACAGACCTCGTTACATAGCCGTTACATACCTCGTTACAGACCCAACCCCAGCCCGGGCCAGCGACCCCGCTTTTTGCCGCAGCTTGGCTTGCGTTGAATAGCTGCAAGCAAGCTGGTGCTGCGGAGGCGCGCTTTGCGTACTGCGCTTTGCTTTGCCTCGTTGCAGACCTCGTTACAGACCCAACCCCCTAACCCGGCCCAGCGACCCCGCTTTTGGCCGCAGCTTGGCTTGCGTTGAGTAGCTGCAATCAAGCTGGAGCTGCGGAGGCGCGCTTTGCGTCCTGCGCTTTGCTTTGCCTCGTTGTGCTGCGCTACATTGTGCTACTGATACTGCTTGTCAGGAAATGTTAGTCCCGTTACAGACCTGCGTAACAAGGACCTCCGTTACAGACGTCCGTAACAAGTTTCGTGGCGCGTCGCGCGTTACAGACCCCTAAAAAAAATCATGGCCATATATATATATATATATTTTTCCAGGGGGCTTTAGCAAATGGAAGGAGATGTCTTGGGGACTGAGAAAATTCTAAGCCTTCTTGGTCATGCGCGAAGAGGCTGCGTTTCACATGGCCCTTGTCCAACAGCTTCCAAGTTTCGGCACCTGGACAGCCTCAAATCTCAGGGGTCCAAAGCGAATCGACCTTTTGACCTTTTGACCTCTCCCTGTTTCAGTGGTTGGATTGGGATGTTCACTGGGGGTACGATTTTGCTTTTGACCCATGGCCATATGTCGTCATGGCGCCAAATGGTGATCACCTTCTATTTCTGGCTCCTTTGGGCACCTGAGCAAACGACGTCAAGTCGTGAGCGGCCATTCTTTTCAGGCTGGCGGAGCCCAGATGGATCCGTGCGGAAGACGCAGGAGGCCGAGAGACGGGATTGAGTTCCTAGCTCCCCCAGTAGTGCCCTTTTACCCTTCTGTGGAGAGGGTTCCCCTGCTAAAATAGACTCAGAAAAAAGGGAACCCTTATTCTAACCTCTCTACTGGAGGTACTAGGTTCTGTTCGGTTGGGAATCAAAGGGTTCCCTACGACCTCCAAATTTGCTAGGCAGGGCATTTTCTCACAGCAGTCAAGCAAGCCGGTCTTGAAACAGTGTAATACATTTCACTATGCTTGAATTATGGGAATCTGACAGTGAGAGGAGTATATAGGTTTGGGAAGTATGAGTTTGGTGAAATCCCACCTTCCGCAAGGGGCACAGCATGCGACCGCCACGTAAGGTAGTCACAGGATGGGACCACTTTGGTATCACAAGGATTCTGTCCCACAAGCGTGTTAGGCCTTTTGATTTCACTTGAGGGTAATCAATTGCATCATCTCGATTGAACAGTGTTTATCTGCAACCGGGTTTCCTATATATATATATATATACATATTATCAAATTCTCACCAGCTCACCGATCGGGGGTAAAAAGAGGCCTAATGATGAAGGTCCCTTACCAGGGTTTCTTTTTTCTTCCAGCCAGGGACTTATTGCAATGAGTTTCGGAGATTCCCATTTTCATTCACGTCTTCTGCAGTAGAGGGCTCTCCCATTTCTGCCAGTGACCTTTGCCAATGCGCGGACCAAAGGACTCAGTCACTCAGTCACTGATGCGCGGCAATCAGAAATATGGGCATGAAATTGAACTAGGGACATCATTGAGGTGGGTTGTACGTCATCCACTTTCCGGCAGGTTCCCGATTGAACTGTGTGGCCGAATGAAACGACTCCCTGTGAACGGGTTTGGATGCACCAGTGTCAATTAGTTTTGTTGGCGGAGTGGATAAGTTGACCGCATGCTTATTCCGAAACGCCCCGCTTTGGTTGCTAAGCAAATCTGTGATCAGATGGCAAAATTGAGTGCTTGTTCCACCCGCTTGCCAGCGCTTGGCTGCAGCTGCAGAGTTCTTCCTGTTCCATTGCCATGTCCCACGCCTAAATGCTGCAGTTTGTCCTTGTGGGGAATAGCAAAAAGAATTGCAACCCCCCACCCACTCCTTCCACCTGTAACCCGCTACAGCGTCCAAGCTCGTTCAGTCGTGTGAGTGTTTGGCCATACGTATCCAACAAATGCTGGATGGTATCATGTTGGAAGGCCTCAGAATGGAATCACATATTATGTTGCTTTCCAGATTTGAGACACCCTCAGCACATGCAGCCTTGCTCGATGGGTTCGAGTGTTTTTGGGGGATTTGAACGCCTGGTTTTAGAGGGTAAATGGGAAACCTTCCTAAAAGAAATATCCACCAATGCAAACCACGCAAGGCGCAACTGAACATTATGCCTCCGTTGTGCCATCCCGGGGCATCACAAAGAAAAAACATATCCTACTAAAAAATGACATTCTTTGGTGGGATATGGCTGGGGGTCAAAACCAATGGTACCATTTTGGGGTAGGTGCACCACCCATTTTGGAGCCTATTTTAGTGGGGATTGGGATGTTCACTGGGTGTACGGGATTTTGACCCATGGCCATATCTTGCCAAAGAATGACATTCTTTGGTGGGAGATGGGCGCGTCTTTTTGGCGGGGAATGGTGCCCCAAAATGGAACAACGGCGGCCCCGCCAAAGACGGAGGCCCCACGCAGTGTCAATACCAGATACCAGTTCAACAAACTCTTGAACATGGCTAGATTATATACATATATATACACACTATATATATATATACACATGTATGTAAAATTAAAATCGCAAACTGTTACATCCTCAAACAATCAACTATTATATGATGTGCATTGTATAATTTTAAAGCAAGTACACTTTGATATCGCAACCGGGCTGAAATGCATCAGCTATTAAACAACTTGCCTGAACAGAACTTATTCGAGCCAAAGCAACTGTTGCAAAGCAAAACATCAACGTTCAATGGGCTGAGCTTTCTAAAGCCTAAACAAAGCTAAGCTAAGCTAAACACCAAGCACGCGAAATGGTTTAAACCATAACAAGTTTTTAGTTACAGTGACAAGAGGACGCTGTACACCAACAATAAACTAAATCATCACGATAGCAAATTGCATCATCACGATAAGAAGCCCTGATGGTGCTCAATTGTTGCTATTTTGTACCACTTTATATACGAGTACAAAAAGCCTCTCCAAGGCTGTACAAGTAGCGGCCGGTCAATAGGCCGTCTACAAGGCCGTCTACAAGCTGCCCTTCCACGCCGGGCCTGTTAGCTCGCAGGCTCGCGGGCCTGGGTCCGTAGAGCCTGCGGGCCCGCGGGCCCGCGCCAGGGCCCGCGCCGGGCCCGTAGAGCCTGCGCCGGGCCTGTGGAGCCCCGCGGGCCCGCGGGCCCGCGCGTGTCCGTGCTGCAACTAGTGACTATTCTCAGGCCGTCTACAAGGCCGTCTACAAGGCCTAGCAGACTGGCGGTTCAAAAAAACAAGCGTGTGTGCTCGCTTTCATGCGAGCTCTCACGTGTTGCCCGGTACTGCCCTCTAAGGGGTCTTTGTGTTGGCAAGCGCTTTGCAGAAGATGTGGGGTCAAAGCTTTTGCATCACGGAGACCAGAACCTGGAGAAGGCAGGCAAGCCCACAGGCAGCCCCATTCCCTGGCACGCCTGTCCGCCTCCCAACATCGTGCACGATGTGTCAGCAAAGCAGGCAGTGGAAGAGGAGGGCAAGGACTGCAAAGGGCTCAAGAGCGTTTTCAAATTGACATGTGAGAGAAGATCACAGGAACAATTACTAATTTAAGCAACATGTCTGTGTGCCGTTGTTGCTTTGCCATATTCAACATGTCAGTTGCCACGAAGGCGGCTCTCCAAGAAGACTTGTCCTGGGCATGTCCAGAGCTCCGTTCTCAAAGGCCGCAGCGAGCATGGCTTGGCGGATGAGCCATGTCGCATGGTTGAGCTGTTCGACAGTAATCGCTTGCACTGAGGCTTTGGGGCTGGACGCATTTCGTTTTGCATCTGCTGTTTCAACCGCGGCTGGCAGCTGCAGCTGGCCGCAGCTGTGAACATGATGACGACCAGAAAGTTCAGCCCACACAGTGTTCGGTTTGTGGCTGCGCTGTGTGACGAACTGACCGGCGCGAATTCGGATGGTGCAACCACGAAGGTATGGCTGGAAGCCAATTTCCAAGAGGAGCTGGGCAATTAATGGGACGTTGCTCGTCGGCCTTTCCAACGACCTGGAGAAGTTCCACAGCTGCTACTGCTGCTCATGTCCTGGGACTCATGCTCCCTTGAGGCGCAGGCTATGTGTCTGGGAGCGGCCAAGCTTCCCCTCAGCTTGGACTTCAAGCGGTCCCCACAGGCATGGGAAGACGTCCCAGGGTCCACTCTGCTGGGCAGACAAGGCGATCGCCGAAGATCTGCTCATCAACCGGAATGCGGACAACATCCTCCCGGTGGATTTTCCCTGCTGAATGGATATGATCAGGCTACGCTGCCAACTGGATACCAAGATATTGACATGTATGAAAGGCTGAAGTGGGGAGGCAGCAAAGAATCCGCGATCAAACTTTCTTTCCATGCTGGGTGGTCCATTCCTAATCACACAAACCGCAGAGTTGCAACAGCAACTGCCAAGACACAGCACTGCAGTAGCAGCCTCAAGCGGCACCAGCAAAACACGGAGAATTGGCGACGGTCCAAGAACTTGCTGGCGCAAGGGCTTTGGTGTCGGAATGCAGCTGACAAGCCAGCCCCACAGACTTACTTCAAGCTGTTGGCAACTCTGGCTTCAATGAGGGCCTGGGCGGCGAGCCGCTGCCTTGCCTCCCACGTCACCCGGGCCTTCTGGGAGCTCTGTCAGCCTAGGCCAGCGGCCATGCCAACCACCACGGCCGCTAGACGCGCCCAGTCTGCCACCGCCGCCGCCACGTGTGCATATCACACTTGTGACATGCGGGGCAGCCAACCTGAAATGGTCCTTGCAGCCAGCTGTGGGTGTTGACTTGTCGTTGAGCTGCAGCAGCTACGCGAACAAGCCTTAGACGAGGACTTGATGCTCGCAGTGCTCGCAAAGTCCGGGGTCTTGCCTGAAGCAGACTGCAACATGTGCATTGACTGCAGCATATACTTCAACCCGGACACTTGCAAGGAAATGAAGAACCACGTCGGATACCACCTGATATCTTGCGAAAGCTCTGCGGATCCTCTGCTAGCTTGAAGGCGCATTTCCGGCAGGTCAGGGAGCAGCTCAAATCCCTGTGCCAATGGATGGAGGGGAAGCGGCGGTGCACACGGACTGTGGTCTGCTATTGCAAGAGTGGCCTCTTGTACAGCCTTGTAGACGGCTCTTGGACGCCGTCTTTTACGGCCTACAAGACGGCTACTTGGAGACGGCGTTGTAGACGGCCTATTCGACGGCCTATTGGACGGGTGTTGGACGGCTACTTCAACCTAGACGGCCTATTGGATGGCCTTCTAGACGGCTACTACAGCCTTGTAGACGGCCTTGTAGACGGCCTTGCAGACGGCTTATTGGACGGCCTATTGGACGGCCTATTTCTGGACGGCGTCTTGTACAGCCTTGTAGGCCTTGTAGACGGCCTTGTAGACGGCCTTGTAAACGGCCTTGTAGACGGCCTTTGTAGACGGCCTATTGGACCAAAGCACAGACCATCCTTAGTGGAAGGGCCTTGGCGATCTTGTCGTGATTGATTGCATTTCAATTCGTGGTTTCAAAAATCTGTGTCGTGGTGTGATCGTTTTTCTTGTCGTGGAGTCTGGAATATGTTGTTGTCGTGGATACAGCCACCCCTCCAGATCCAGCATTGAAAGCTAAGCTAAACACGAAGCTAAGCTACTCACCAAGCACCTTAAAGCCTAAACACAAGTGGGCGCGTCTTTTTTTAAGAGACCACTCAGAATGTTGGCCTTCCTTTTGATTTCCCTTTTGAACCACACAAAAAGGGGGACCCTCAAAAAAAGGCGGCATACCCAAGTATTGACATCGAGCACCAAGGTTTGCAACCGATTCCACAGGTTCTGCCGGCTTGGCAGCTGCTCAGCGTCGTTGAGGCACCAGGCCAGCAGGGGCTTTTTGATGGCTCGATTGGTAGGGAATGACAACAAGTCCGGGTGTTGGGCCGGAAGGGGATTCCCTGCAAGGAAGCCATAGGGGATGGTCAAGAAGGGGCCATTCCTTTCTCATTCCCTGCCGAGAGACCAGCGAGTAATATAAGGGGCGTAATAGTTAGTAGCATCATTTTCTGTAGGCAGGTTCGTAGGTACTTACACGTTTGGATCTGAGTCTTTACCTAAGTTCCTTGAAAAACACATCTGCTGATGTCCCTCTGCTTGCGCCTGGTTGCCTCAGCATGTCGAGTTCAAGAGGGCGAGATACTGGCCACCAGGAAATGACCATGACCGGACATCAACTAAAGTGGGTCTGTCTTTTTGTGAGCGAACCCTTTTCTTTTTCCCGGGGAGGGGGGGTGGGTTAAAGGGAAACCAAAAGGAACGCCAAAGTCTTTTTGCAGGAGTTCAACCTCAAACAGACACCCATTGGGGAACGATCAACTTGGCAAACATGGTGTTTGTCGCCCATCACCTGATAAAATGAATGGTTGTGATTGCACCATAACAAGCAGGTGTAAAGCCAGCTTGGTCCCGTGATGGCGGGAAATAGGGCTCCCTTTTGTGAGATACTGCTGTGCTGATTTCTCATCGGTCAGCATATGTCACTTCACCTATGGACCGTCGTAACATCCTTTGGTGACTTTCACGGAGCTTCGTCACTTTGTTTTGCCCGCTTGAGCTCCATTAAAACCCCCTATGCATAGACGTGTTGCGAAGGCTCTCCTGTTCTCGAATTGCTTTGGGATGTGGACGTTTCCTTTTCACCATTTGGAATGGAATCAGTTTCTGCACTAGTTCAAGGCGCACGCCCTTCAAGATGTTACTGGCCCAAAATACACAGCAGGACGCAAGACTGCAGCCTGTTGGTGGGCCCCCCGGTTGAAGGCCATGAAATGATCGGAGAGCTGTTGGATCGACCGCTGCGGAGGTGGAAAGGAATTGTGGGTAGAGTTGGTTTAAGGCAAGTTGGGGACAACATGCCCAGGTAAGTGTGTGCATATTTGTTCATTCTGTTGGGATTTCGGTGGTTCATTTGGGTTGAACATCCAAGTACTAAAAATGAGATGCTTACTTCCATGTTCTCAACTCCCTCGCAGCCAAAAGAACTGGATGCATGAAAGGTGATCACTTACCAAACGTGGGTTCAGCATCCAAACAGTCTCAGAACCCTTCCAAGAACCAAGGAGACGAATGCCCACAGCCGCAAACCATCCAGCCAGGAGTGCAGGTGGCTGGCTGGTGGTCTGAACCTCGGTCAGATCGCTGAAATATGACAGAAAGATGGACAAACTCCTGGATTAGTTGGTAGGTGGTTTGTGGCATTTCATGGGGTCTCATTCATCCTAGGTGGTGCAGGATTTTGTTCATCCACAGGTCCTCGTTTCGCTAGTTCAATCCTGACTCCTGCCAGAGAGTTGTTCCCTTGAGGTGTTCCGCGGCTGGCAGATGAGGGATCCACCTACTTTGAACAATCCAGCCTTAAATTCCCCTTGCGGGGCTCCAAGCATCATGGTTGTCGGCAGTTTGAACTTGGGCTGGGCAATGTTTAAAGGGGACATACGGACCCCTAGATGGCTTGACATTTCGAGCTTGCTTTGAGAAGTTTCCACTTTTCAGGTCTTTGGAGTTTTGCTTTTGGTATGATCACTCTAGTGGTAAATCAAAACTCGCGTTTGCTCTTTTGTTTGGTTTCGGCCATCCGGGCAGGAAGGGTTGTACCCAGGTCCCTGCTGCGCAATTGAAAGATCTGAATCTTGCCCGGACCATCTGTAAGTGACTTTCCTTTGGAGGGCTTAATCCTGAGGGGAAACTTCCGTGTGCTTAATATGTTTCCCCTTGTTGGTTTTAAAAGGATTTTATCACCTGGAAATATTATTATTTTCCTGGGGCCTCAACAAAATGGAAGGAAATAATTGAAGTCCTGTAGCATGCAGCATGTTTGCGTGATGTGTCGTAGGAACGTGCCAGGTCCGTGGAAGTTGTGATCGAAGCGAGCTGCTTGGTTTGACTGGAGTTGAGGGGTGGGAACATGTTGACTTCTCTCAAGATGGTGACAGCCATGACCGTTTTCCTTTAAAACTATCAGAGAGCAATAGCATGTCTTAAGCACATGGGTTTGTCTCCAAATGAATGCACAGTCCACAAATTGCTCTTGTGTGCCAAGTGCTTGGAAACATGAGCGCATCTATCTTTTACGAGGGCACCCCTCCTAGGTGTTGTTTCTATTTGGGCGAAACTAGAGGGAAGTCATTGGCAACCCCATCCCAACTGAGCGATTCCCTCTGCCTTCAGGGTGTACTCCAGGGCCTTGGACTATGAGTTGAGTGTGCGTGCGTGCGTGCGTGCGTGCGTGCGTGCGTGCGTGCGTGCGTGCGTGCGTGTGTGTGTGTGTTGTGTGTGTGTGTTGTGTGTGTTGTGTGTGTTGTGTGTGTTGTGTGTGTTGTGTGTGTTGTGTGTGTGTTGTGTGTGTTGTGTTGTGTTGTGTTGTGTTGTGTTGTGTTGTGTTGTGTTGTGTTGTGTTGTGTTGTGTTGTGTTGTGTTGTGTTGTGTTGTATGGTGTTGTGTTGTGTTGTGTTGTTGGTGTTGTGTTGTGTTGTGTTGTGTTGTGTTGTGTTGTGTTGTGTTGTGTTGTGTTGTGTGGTGTGGTGTGGTGTGGTGTGGTGTGGTGTGGTGTGGTGTGGTGTGGTGTGGTGTGGTGTGGTGTGGTGTGTGTGTGTGGTGTGTGTGTGTGTGTGGTGTGGGTGTGGGTGTGGGTGTGTGTGGGCGCGCGCGCGCGCGTGTGCGCGTGTGCGCGTGTGTGTGCGCGCGTGTGTGTGTGTGTGTGTGTGTGTGTGTGTGTGTGTGTGTGTGTGTGTGTGTGTGTGTGTGTGTGTGTGTGTGTGTGTGTGTGTGTGTGTGTGTGTGTGTTTGTTTGTTTGTTTGTTTGTTTGTTTGTTTGTTTGGTTTGTAGGATATATGCAAGACGGGTGGTTGCCGTTTGGAGACTCACCCATATGCCTGGCCATCCCAACTGAGCGATTCCCCCCCCCCAACTGAGCAAGGATCGGCAGGGGTTCGGCTTGAAGTGTCCACAGAGGCGCAACGATAACGAGGCGCGGTCGTCCGAGTGGCGGTGGGATTTGGTTCCAGGAAAGCAGCGAGAACGAGCTGGGGTCATCCGTGTGCCGGTGGGATTTGGCTTGGCGGAGGCGGCAAGGATCAGACCATCGAGGTGGATGAGAAGGTGCTGTTTGAGAACTCTGGACTTCCTGGCGTCATCAAAGAGTTGGTCACCTTTGCGCAGGCTGACGATACTTTTCAGCAACCCACTGGGGCTGCAGTCGCTTGGTTATCAGACAGCTGCAATGATTTCGGGCCTTTGTTTTCACCCGTGTGAATTTCATCCAACGCTACTCAACATCACATGGAAGGGCGCGCGCGCGCGAGCAGGCCGCCGTCCGGTCTGAACCACCTTATAGCCCAAAAACGGCAAGAAGCTCCGAGAAAACGTGACAAACCATGGCTTGTTGCAACGATGTAGTTTCGACTGCCGCGTCCTGGATTCGCATTTCTCTTGCTCTGGTCCGATGCTTGCAGCTCAGTGCAAGGCTGCCGCCTAAGAGCTTTTGTTGCTTGCAAAGAAGCAATTGTCCGTGGAGCCCTCAAAGGGCCGTAGCAAAAAGGCATAGTCCACGCAGCAGCAATAGCAGCATTGTCGGTCTGCCTGTGTCGCCCATGAGCTCCTGCCTGCAACCTGCTTGGGCAAGCAGTTCGCTGACAGTCATTCACAAATATTTGTTCGCATCTTGGTGTTTGGGTTCCCCGGCTGTCCTTGTTTTGTTTTGTAGGATGCCACCTTGGGATTCTTTTGAGGAAACATCAGCATCAACACCACCCATTTTAGGGTGACACACACCCTGAAACTGCTACACCCCAAACACCCAGTTTTGGTCAACTTCAGTGTTTTCCAGCAGGGTGTAATTATTTTGCGGGGGGAGGTTTGGGCGCTTTCCCAAATTCATTATGCCTCTGTCTATGCCCGTTCACTGGCCCGTTCACTGGGGTACGTGACAGTCCTTGTTTCATGCTCAGGGCACCCTGATTTCTAACACCATTGTAGGATATTGCAGGGGCATTCTGAGAAATGTTTTTTCCTGTTTCTTAGTATACTCCTTGGACGGTCTCCGAAGATCGGCTGAATGGAATGCAACCACTTTTGTCAGCTGGGACTTGAACGGATGGATCCCAGCGTGCAGACTGGGGAACAATGATAGGGTCTGCCCTCCCAGCAACCTGGAAGTGCACAGACTCCTTGGTGGCAGTATGGATTGTTGTCGCCAGAGCCTTTGCTTTATGATGCCCTTACATCTCACCTTCCGAGATTCTGGACGTTGAGCTTGGAAATAGTTTGGTTGGCAAGAAGGCAACCATGGCTATAACCGAAGTGGCTCGAACATCCGCGAATCTGAGGCTCCGGGGAGGACACAGCGCGGCGCCTAGGGAAACAGACCTAAGATGCCTGAGGTACTGTTTGGCAGGTTTCATCTGCTCGAGAGGCCCCAAAAGTTTTTGCTGGCCAGTCAACTCAGGTAAGAAAGTGCCTAGGACATTCACACAAAGAAGCCGGGGGTTATGGGAGCTCTTACCGTACGCAAGGGGGCCGGGAAGTTCAAGGAGAGACAAACGAATCATGAGAAATTGATGTTGCAAGGGTGGGCAAATTTAGGGGCCTTTTTGGTATCCCGAAAAAAAAAGACGGCACCTTGGGCAGCAACAAGGTCCAATATCATGGGATGTTTTTGACAACCTCCCATAACATGCTCAACCCCAAAGCGGGCTCCATGTTTCTACAAGGATCACTGGGCAACGAGGGACAGAAGTCCAGCCAATGAGCGAAGTTCAGCACTTCTTTTGCCGCACAGGTGGTACGTTCTCTGACTGACTCGCATCAGCGATGAGATTGGGGTGTGTCCCAAGATGGAAGAAACTAGAATTCGCAGCGGCGTGTCCTTTCTATGTTCCTGTTTAAAATCATCAATCGAGATGATTATCCGTGATTCCTGATCATCGAAAACACCCACATTCATCTTTGTGCCATCTATCAACCACCTTTTGGGTCATGGCACACACAGAATCCCTCAATTCTGGGATTGTCACTTCTAGATTTGAAAGTCTTGGGCAGGATCATTACTTGCTGATGCTGACTTTTTGAAAAGCACCTGTAGCAGGCAACTCTCCAATGCCAATGTGATCCTTGCAAACAAATCTAGAGTTGTCAAGCAATCCGTCAGGCTCACTGCAATGAATTGCCCCGACTTGGAAGATGGGTAGTGGCTACCACGCTATTGCCTAGAGCCGACCTTGATTCAGTGTGTGTCTTCAGGCAGTCAGCAGGCAGCATTGAATGTCTTCTGAGGAGCAGAGTTGCGCAAAGTCTATTGTAACCACGCACCGTTGGCCCCCTTCCCCATAAGGAGGTGGTTTCAATAGTCCTTTGAAATGGTTCGGTTGAACCAAGGGCTTGCACCAAACCTGGAGTTTCGGCGGGACCGAATGTAGGAGCAATCGGACGGGGCTGGACTTGGGTTTTTCGGTCGGAATTTGACACCAAGCATGTATTTGTTTTGGTGTGCCTGCTGAACGATGGGGGTAGAAAGGGAATTCGACAGGACACCAATCTTGAGGGAGATGGCGCACTGGCCCCGGCTGCAAGGTGCTTTCCAGGAGGTTCTATGTCTACGAGACCAAGATCGAGCTGGCGGTGATCCAGGCACGCAATGAAGCAAACGGGAGAGTTTGTTCCGGGGGGTTTGTGGGGGCAGGGGGAGCGGCAACTCCTGGAGTCCAAAAAATGCTCCGCATGGATAGATGGGTCCAAAAGTGGCCCAAGAATGGTGGAGTTCTTGGACTCCTTTGTGTGTTGAGGAAGGGGAAAGCCTGAGGTAGAGTGCCATTCGCTTGCACATAGCATGAATGACTCGGCAACCGAAGCCATCGATGCGCGACACAGCAAAAGGCCTGCGAGCCTTGCCTCTGCTTGCACTGCTTTGCCCCTTAACTGGGAACCCCTTTTGGTTTTGCTTTTCGGACCTGCGGTCCCACATTGGTAGCGGAGCTTGAGGGTTCCCCCCCCTTGCTCCCGCTTTTGGGGTGTTTGGACGTCTTTAAGTCCATAGGCTGCTCTGCGGTGGCCAATGGCCCGACGCGCCCGCGGAAGCAATGGGGAGGAGCCTGCACGGCCGGTGGACGTTCCGGCCGGCGACGCAGATGATGATGACCTGGATGGGGTGGTCATCCCGGACGAGGTGGTGAGCGAGAATGTTCACGATGAGCCGGATGGGCTGCCGGTGGAGGAACCGGCAGAGGGAGATGATCCCTGGATGAGGCCAGGGGAAGATCCATGGGGAGCGAGGCCCACTTCGGCCGCCTCGGCACCGGCATCCACTGCCAGGCCGGCGGTGAAAGCAAGGACAGCCCCACCGAGATCTGTTGGGATGGAGGCGGACTACTGGGTGGTGACCAACACGCGGGTGGTCAGGGTGCATGTTGTGCCTCGGCTTGAGCGCTTCAGGCCGACCGACCTCTTTGAGTGCCCAATTCCCTTGAGCAAGATGTCACCTTGGAGGCGAACCAGGATGAACTTTGTGGGGGAAGCGGAGAGGGACGGAGGTACGACGCTGGTGAGCGACCACTGGATGAACCGTCCAAGGGATCCTCCAGAAGCGGCTGAATGGGTGGGCAACACTACGTTTTTTCGAATGGATATTGTTCAGCCCGAGTATCACACGGAGCCCCAGCGAGACCCGAATGATGATCAATTTGATCCTGACCCGCACACTGAGGTACCACCATCGTTCAATGCCTTCGGCAGTGGCGGCACTGGTAAAGGGCGTGGCTCTGGCAAAGGCGGGGGCCGGTCATCCCCGGCTAGCGCCGGACGGAACACCAAGAAGCCGTCCCGTGCTGCTGGAGGTGGTCCTCCTGATGATGACCCAGATGATGATCCGGACGATGACGGTCAAGGAGGGCACGATCAGGGACGTCATGGAGGCAATGGAAGACGACCTCGTGACCAACCTGGACATCAACAGGACGATGAGGTGGGGTCACTGCAGACTCCGACTGAGGACTCCTCCATCAGGTCGGAGGAGCTGCAACAGCTGCTGGCCCGCAGCTGGAAAGGCACAGATCGCCCAAGGTCTTCATTGGGTTCGGTGCGCATGGAAGATTTCAGTGGCGATCGTGGGAAGTACCGCAACTGGCGCAGAGCGGTGCTCGCTCAACAGCAGCTCTACCGCCTGGAGAGCGCCGAGCTGGCGATGATGATTTACTTGAGCTGCAAGGGAGACGCCAGGGAGGTGCTCGACCAGATCACCATTGAGGAGATGGTGGCAGCTGGAGGCCTTGCGAAGTTGTGGCAGCTGCTCAACGAGGCCTACGGCGAGAGCTCGGACGAGTACTTCGAGCGGATCGAGGCGGAGTTCAACCAGTATCGGAGACAGCCTGGCCAGAGCATCGCGTCCTACCTTGGCCAGATCAAGAAGCTCAAGGCTCAGTACCTGAGGGAAGATGAAGGGACAATCCTTTCTGACCGAGCATGGGCGCAACGCTTGTTGGTGCGCGCCTCGCTGAGCAGGAGAGAACGGCTGGATGTCTTCTACTCGGCTGGGGGTGCCTATAACGCCAAGATGATCGAGAGCGCCTTGAGGCACCGTGCAAGCCGAGTGCACGAGGACGAGCGCCGGACTCCGGCCTTGGGATCAGCCTTCAGGAAGTTCCCCTTTGCGAGGCCGTCGTCTTCAAGATCGACCTCAGCCTCTACCCGAGCATCCACGGCGCCCTCAGTGGCCAGTTCGTTTCGCTCAAAGGGAGCGGGCAAGGGGCATCATCGAGTTCATCTGGCTGATGATGGCCCTGAAGATGAGGACATGGAGGACCTGGAGGGCGACGAAGAGGCCTATGAGACCTATTTGCAAGGCCTGGAAGAAGAGCCTGAAGACCTGGAGGACATCCCGGAAGAGACGGAGGACCCGGAGTTGGACGGTGCCCAGTACGACTCCGAAGATGAGGTCACTGCGGATCAGCTCAGGGAAGCCTGGGCAGCGGGATGGAAGGCAAAGAATCAGATGGCCGAGAAGAAGAAGTCCCGAAACTTCAGGAATGGCTCTGATCAGCGGCCAAGGGCAGCTCCGGGCCGCAAGACGGACATGACAGCCAAGAAGTTGGCGACGACCTGCAGCTCGTGCGGGCAGAAAGGTCACTGGAGGGGCGATTTGGTGTGCCCCAAGGTCAAGAGCGGCCAGGACAAACCCTTCCAGCCGAAGAACAGGGCAGAGCAGGGTGTCCACTTGGTGCAGTCGATTAAGGACATCCCGGTCCTCTCCGATGGCAAGAACCTGGTCGCAAAGGAAGTGAACTTCACCTTCATGGCCGCAAGAACCCCAAAGCCAAAGGAGCCACCGGCGAAGAAGAGGGCCGCCACGCACTGCTTTCACTGCGGGGAACAGGTTCAAGAGATCCACAAGTTCTGTCCTTTCTGTGGAACCTCTCAGGCCGCGGTGGACATGCGAGACGTCGGTGACGACCCGAAGCGTGGTTGGAGCCTGGTTGACTATGAGAGTGAAAGTGATCAGGATCCACCGCGCGGTGAGGGGTACAAGATACCGCTGGAGGCAGCGAAGGCAGCCGTGAGAGAAAGCCAGCGGACGAGCAGCAAGGGCACTGGGAAGTTGGTCTACATGCCGGCCCAGGCTATTAGCGCAGCGGTGCCCTACATGAGCAGGGAGGAGAAGCGCGACCTCATGGCAAAGCTGGTGGAGGAGGAAGATGACAGGGCGGGAGATATCCTTGCCCGCCATCAAAACTGGAGTGAGAGTGTGACAGGTGCTGCGGGCTCTCAAGATCCGGTTCCACCATCAGGGGAGCTCCCGGCCGCCGTCAAGAAGAAGAGACTTGAGGTCTTTCGGGAGCAGCTCTACAACGAACAGGTCCAAGGAGGTCGGTTTCAGCCCTCCGAGATGAGCCCGACTCCGAGCCCAGTCCAGAAGAAGTGTGGCCATCCCTTCCACAAGCTACGATGGACTGCCAATGGCTCAGGTCACTATGCACGGTGTGGAGTTTGTGACCTCAAGAGCGTGGTGTACTGGTCATCCCGGCCTACGGTCCTGGTGGCCGGGAATGTGGATGAGAAGCACCAGGTGCTCACCATGGACTACCTCCCGAAGACCGTGCTTGCCATTGCCGACAGCGGTTGCCGGACTTCTGTCGGTGGGATACACTGGCATTCCAGATTCCAGCAGGAGTTGATCAAGCTGGGTTTGGAGTGGGAGGTCATCGCGGAGGAGGAGTATTTCAAGTTTGGAGCAGGAGCACCGGAGAAGTCGGTCAGGGGGTATCTTTACCCCGTCGGAGTGCATGGGCGCGAAAGCTTTCTGAGGATGTCAGAGGTGTCCGGATCAGCAGCGGATTGCCCAGGGCTAGTGAGCCCCTCTGAACTTGCCAGATGGGACGTCCGGTTCAACTTCAAGGAGCGGACGGTTCAGGCGATGGGCGTGACTAAGAAGATGCTGTTGACGGATACGCGGCATCCGGGTTTGGACCTGCTGCAGTTCCCGAACGTCCTGATGGGCACAAAGGACAGAGAACTAGCCGAGCTAAGGCAGCAGCTGGTGAACGCTCCTCAGACCTATGCATTTGTGACAGCAGCCGGAGAAGAAGAAGATCTGGGCACGGGAGATGAGAGCTCCGGCAACACCAGCGAGACGGAATCGGAGGAGCACGAGCTCAGGAAGCTCCTCTCGGACATGGAAAGCCTGGAGGTGCCGACGCGGGACTACATCCAGGTTTCGGAGAGCGAGGATGATTCCTACAAGGGCGCCTTCGATGGGGGCGAGTCGACAACCTCGCATGAGCTCGGTGTGGAATGGCCGGACTCGGACTCTTCGACAGAGGTGGAGGAGCGCAGTTACGATGAAGGCGAGGCCTACAAGGGTCCGGTCAAGGCCTTCACCAAGGGCCAAAAGAGAAAAGTCAGGAGCGGAATCCGCCAGCTCAAGGAGATTCACACCCTGGACAAGGTGAGGGGCAACCTCAAGCGATCGGAGCCCGTCACCTACAAGCCGAGGGTGCCTAAGAGGCCCTACAAGGTCCTGGAGATCTTCACCTGGACCCTTACGGTTACGATGCTGGCGGCCCAGTCGGGTTGGATTGGGTTGGAGCCAATCACACTGCCACACTGGGATCTGCGATTGCCACAGGAACGCAAGGCCGCACTCAACTATGTTCGGGCGGCCGACCCTGATCTCACCGTCATTGCTTGGCCATGCACTGTTTGGTCGCAGTTGCAGGGCCTCAACGTCAAGACGGTGGAGCACGCCGAGGCGCTGGCTGATCGGCAGATGATGGATCGGGACGATTTTCTCAGCTTTGTCCATGACGTGGCCAAGGATCGGCGAGCGTGTGGCAAGGCTGTGGTCGGTGAGAACCCGCTCACCTCAAGGGCCTGGAAGGAGCCGCTCATCAGGGAGGCTTTCTTGGGCCCGGATTGCGACGAGGTGCGCGTGGACATGTGTGCCTACGGTTTGAGGCGCCCAGACACTAAGGAGTCCCTGATGAAGCCCACCAAGCTGATCGGCACGAAGGAGATCGTGAGGGCATGCGAGAAGAGATGCAGCTGTGAACGGCTGCACGCTCTGACGATGGGCGGCATGAAGCACGAGGGCAAGAGTTGGTCAGTGGCGGAGTTTGCGGGCGGCTACACTAAGGCGTTCGCAAGGAGGCTGTTGAGGGCAGCAGAGAAGTGGCTGGATGAGGGGCGATCTTCAAACCTCGCCTATGCCATGGACACGCTGCCGGAGGAGATTCTCACTGCTCCAGATGAAGAAGTTCAGTTGGAGAAGCCAGCGGAAGAAACACCAGAAGAAGAGCCCGAGGAGAAGTACCCCAAGGCGGTGGTGGAAGCGGTTCAGAAGGCCCACAGGAGGCTGGGGCATCCAAGCAAAGATGCTATGGTCCGGATGCTCAAGCTGGGTGGAGCCTCTGGTGAGACCCTGGCCTTCGCCAAGGAGTATGTCTGCCCGGTGTGTCAAAGCAGAGCGCCACCCGGAAGACCGCTGCAGCAAACACCTGCTCTGAGGCCTGGCGGTTTCGGGGTAGAAGTTCATGTGGATCTGAAGTACATGAAGGACGTAGCCGGTGCTACATGGGTAGCCCTGTCTATGGTGGACGCTGGTACGAACTACCACATGGCGACCCTTGTCCGTACTCGCAAGCCATCCTATGTGAGCCGGAAGTTCATTAAGCACTGGGTGGCTCACTTTGGGAGGCCGACGAGGATTGTCATGGACCAGGGTGGCGAGTTTGAAAGGGAGTGGGTACTGATGCTGGAGCAGTTCGGCATCCACTCCAAGACTACAGGCGCGCACGCAGGATGGCAGCACGCCTTTGCAGAGAGGCACGGCGCTTTGATGGGTGAGATATGGCACGCACTCATCTTGGAGCAGCAGGCCAAGGACAAGGTGGACATGGCGGTCACTTTGGCGTGTGCGATGGAGGCCAAGAATGAGATGGTGTCCCGGAGGGGCTACTCGGCCAACATGATGGTCTTCGGCCGGAACGTGACCTATCCGGAGTTTCTGGCTGATGAGGAGTTTGAGCCGGTGACTATGGCTCAGGCGTTGGATGAAGACAGTGAGATGGCCCGCAGGATGAGACTGCGGAACAAGGCAAGAGCAGTTTTGCTCAGAGAAGACGTTCAGGACAAGCTACGGAAGGCATTGATGAGAAGGCAACCGGAAGACAGGGTGTACATCCCCGGCCAGGTGGTATACTTCTGGATCCCGCAGATCGGTAAGCCTAGGTATCGCGGGGATGCTGGACGGTGGAGAGGTCCGGCGGTGGTGATTGCTCAAGAAGGACCACAGAGGTACTATGTCAGTTGGCGGGGGAGATGCTTGTTGCTGGCAGCACCCAATCTTCGGCCAGCCACCTCGGAGGAGTCGGCAGCCGTGGATATGGTCAAGGAAGAGTTGGAGACGATCGGTAGCAGCCTGGGTCCTGACGGTGAAGAACAAGAGGAGAAAGGAGGTTATGAAGACTACACTGGTCTGGAGCCTCCCCCACAGCAAGGAGAAGTTGTCCACATGCCAGGTTCCGGAGTTGCTCGAGGCAGACCTGAGGAGGATGCCAGAAGAATGATGAGAGGCATGAGGACAGTTAGAAAGTTGATGAAGACGCCAGTTCGTGTCAGAAAGGCAGTGCGAAAAAGAGGGAGCAGAAGGCCGGCAGATCCATCACGGGCGGAGGAGTTTCCCCGGAGTGGTGAAGCCGGTCCGAGCTCTCAGCCTCAGCCGGTGCCGAGACCGGCGCCAGAGAAGGATGATGAGGAAGACGCGGAGTTCTGGCGGGAGTTGTTTGATTCCTCGGAAGATTGGGAAGCGGCACAGCAGAAGAGAAGAAGGTTGCTGGATGACGTCCCGGTCAGCATCAAGAGGAAGAGGGAGGCCGATGCGGGCGAGCTCGACCCGGAGGAAGTCACCAAGAAGTTTAAGGGCGAGTTCTACACCGCTGTGATGATTGCGGCGGCGGGGCAAGATCTATGCCCGGATGGTCAGCCGTCTAGGCGAGCCAATGAGTGGTTGAGCCGAGCGGAGGTGAAATCCCTCACCAAACTTCTGGGCTTGCCGGTGTCATCGGCAAGGCTGCATCTAGGTCCGAGGAAGAGGATGCAGAAGCCCGGAAACAAGAAGGGAGCCAAGTCCCGAGTGAGTGTTCTCCTTGGAAGAGAGCCTGGCGTGGCGCTGCTGGTGTATGAAACAGCGCAGGAAGTGGCGCAGCACCCAAGGAGGAGATCGCCATTCGAATGGAGAGGACTGACTCTCTTCCTGGAAAGCAAGGGAAAGCAGAAGGAGCCGCAGGGTGCCTACGTCGCCATGGGGCCCCACGTCTACGAGGCCAAGTGGCCGGAAGCCAAGCAAAGGATGTGGGAGGGCTTTGTCAGAGAGGAGGCAAGGTCCCGGCGGGCCTGCGAGATCTTCCTTCTGCGCATGAAGGCCAACGGGAAGGAGCTGGACCCGAAGTTCTTCGATGAGAAGGAGAAGGCAAGCTTCGGGGAGTCAGATCGAGCCGAATGGCAATCATGGATCGACAACAAGGTGGTGGAGCTGGTTCCGCCGGACAAGGCACGTTTGGTGCCAAAGCAGCTCATCTTCAGAGCACCATTGCGGTGGGTCAGAACCAACAAGGCCAAGGAGGTGGGCATGATGGCGAAGCTCGTGGCGAAGTCGAGGATCGTAATCCCGGGTCATTTGGACCCAGGTCTGGGTGAGTTCAGGACAGACAGCCCAACTACAACACCGGCGGCTGTGAGGATCCTGAAAACGCTGGCGGTGTCCCGGAGGTGGAAAGTTTACGTCTTCGATGTGAGCACGGCGTTTCTGTCCGGGAAGGCAACGGAAAGGGAGGTCTACATCAGAGGGCCAGAAGATGGACTTCCTGCCACCACCAAGACGGTCAAGATCCAGCCCTACGCACTGATGAGGGTACTCAAATCGGCCTATGGTTTGGCCGAGGCACCGCGCCTATGGTATCTTCAGGCAGCGCAGTACATGGTGGAGTGTGGCATGGAGGAGCTGGAGATTTGCAGGGCGACCTTTGTGAAGGCAGCACGGGGCACCACCAAGGCCCTGTGCACACTGCACGTGGATGATGGTCTACTGGCCGGTCAGGAAGGCTGCCCGGTGTTTAAGGAGGTCCTGGCCAAGGTGAACCAGAAGTTCAACATAAAGGAGTGGAAGGTCTTAGGCCCCGATCCGGTGCAGTACCTGGGCAGCCAGGTCACTTACCACAGTGGCACGATTGTGGACTCCATGAAGGAGTACATCTTGAAGATCAAGCCCATGAAGATGATCAAGGCGGAGCCTACTGAGCTTTTAGGCAAGGTGGAGCTCAAGGCCTACCGCAGTGTGGTGATGCAGATGAGGTGGCCGTGTCAGCATTGTTTGCCCGAGAAGCTCTTCGAGGTGAGCCAGTTGGCTCAAAAGGTCTCCGCGGCGAACTGGGGCCACGTGGGACAGGCCAACAAGTTGTTGCAGGAGATTAGGAAGCTGGCTACCACAGGTCAGGCGGAGTTGCGGTACCGCCCGATCGGTGGAGAGCCGATGATGCTTTCCTTCTTCGACGCCTCCTTGGGCAAGAGTGAGGTGATGAGGGCTCAGCAGGGCCAGGTGCATTTGGTGGCGTCAAAGGAGGTGCTTCACCGTGAAGGAGTGGCCAACATCCTGGGCTATCGCAGCGGCAAGATCGCCCGGGTGGTGAGGTCAAGCCTGGCAGCAGAGGGTCACTCTATGAGCACAGCGATGGATGAGCAGCTCTATCTGCGGTTGCTCATGGAGATGATGGCCAAAGGGCCCCGGCCTGTAGGCAAGGACTGGAAGGAGTCCTTGTCCTGTCCGGGGGCGGTGGTGACGGATGCCAAGGCGTTGTATGATCACGTCACGAAGACCGGTCATATGACGGCCGAGCGACAGACGATGCTGGACATCCTGAGTGCCAAGGAGTTGATCCAGCAGCAGCTTTGCCAGATCTTCTGGGTCCCTACATTCCGCCAGCTGGCGGATGGCTTGACGAAAGCTATGGCAGATGAACTCTTCACGGAGTTCCGCAAGAGGGGGACGATCAGCCTGAAGGAGACTCCGGAGGATGCAAAGCGAGAGCAAGCACGCGCTGATCTTCGCAGAGGTCAGCGTGAGAGGCGGAAAGAGCGAATGAAGCATCTCACCTCAGCACCCTCTTTTCCCGATGTGTTGAGGAAGGGGAAAGCCTGAGGTAGAGTGCCATTCGCTTGCACATAGCATGAATGACTCGGCAACCGAAGCCATCGATGCGCGACACAGCAAAAGGCCTGCGAGCCTTGCCTCTGCTTGCACTGCTTTGCCCCTTAACTGGGAACCCCTTTTGGCTTTGCTTTTCGGACCTGCGGTCCCACACTTTGTTGCTCTTCAAGCACTTTCCAAGGGGGGAATCAGAAACAGACCCGACCTCCCCTGGTTCTTGTAGAGGGTAACTGGGAGTAGCCCCCCCCCAACATCCAAAGCGCTGGTCTCCAATCTCCGATTAGAGGGAGAGGGCCCTCTTTTCCCGGTTACTGTGGATGGCCAAAATGCCTTTGGCACCAGGGATGAAGGCCTATGAACACTAGGTCCCCCAGTAGTGCCCTTTCTCAACCCTTTTTTGGTTGGGAGGGTTCCCCTACTAAAATAGACTACAGAAAGAAGTTGGTACCCTTATTCTAACCTTTTGCTGGAGGACCTAGCCTTGGCACCAGGGATGAAGGGGCTCTATTCCCCGTTGCTGTGGATGGCCAAAATCCCTTTGGCACCAAGAGTCTGGTCCTCCCCCTGGAGAGGTATCCCCCCTTGCAAGGGATGAAGCCCAGCAGGTTTCCAAGTGCAAACCAACACATCGGTTTCCAAGTGGTGCGAATTGGATTTCGCAACCATCCACTATGAATATTTGATATTGATCCCGAAGGCAGCCCAGCAGCTTTGCGACGCGTTTCGAGCATCCAGGAACTCTTCAGCGCCGGGCTCTCAGCGCGAGGACTCGGCTTGTGGCTCCTTCGGGGAGGAGGAGCTATGGCTGGGGTTGGCCGGGTGGCTGTGGCTGTGGGGGTGCGTGGTTGGGATAATGTGCTGATGCAATTGCAATTTCACAAGAGCATCCTGGTGAGTCCTTAAACACCCACCAAAGCAGAGAAGACACCCTTACCACCCGAAGCCAAAGGAGAGAAGACCTATGGATGCGCTTCCAAGAATTGGGCACCAAACCAAAACGACTGCATTCTCAGCGATGTGCTTTGTCAGACCCCATGTTTGGATTGGATATTTTTCGGGTGCCGCCTGAGGATGTTCTAACGCCAGACCCCCAAGGCTCTGAGCCATGAGCCTCAGGTGATGCCCAGCTGATGGATTCGTGGGAGGCTCAGATGTTCCGGTCACCTGTTTTTAGTACGCAGGTGGGTGGGCCCTTCAATTGTTGGAAGGTATTTTGAAGGTACTCCGTTTTGGTTTTCAATGGGAGATCACAAGACACCACCAGTTCTAAATACGGTCCGATTTTGGCGCACGAGGTGTCTTTGAGTTGAACCGTGCATCGTGACCAAGCGCGCGCCCTTGCGACTGGAGGCGCGGGAATGAACCTAAACGAGAAGCCCTTCTTTTTGTTTGCAGATGAGAGCTAGGGGGCAAAGTATGGCCCGGTGTTGAACCCTAGTGCCGCCTTTTGCCGCCTTTCAAACGATATCCCAAATGGAGCTTGTAAGTTTGACAACGATGCAGCTTCAAAAGGATCTGCGTTTGATCAGCTTGATTGCGTGTAGCTGCTGCATGGTAAATTGTATCATTCCCACGTCCTTAAGACCACAAGCAGGACTTCGATGTGTCCAAAATAGCCAACATGACGGCTGATGTGTGGCTGCGGAACTACGTAACTAGGGTTTGCCTTTTGACCTCACCAGGAAGTTGCTCATCGAGCTCAAGTTTTCTTTGCAGGCTTCCATTTGCTTAAGAATATGTTTTTATTTTCCCCTGTTGGTTTTAAAGGGAATCTATCACTAATGGAAATATATTTTTCCAGGGGGCTTAAGCAAATGGAAGTGTATTTTTTGGAGACAATGATCATTTGCTTCTCCCGAACCCATGGGGCATTCGACAGGTCCGTCCGGCACTAGCGACTCAGCGACTTGTCGACACGTCGACCACTACGAGGCTGTGGGCCGCTGTCTTTAATCTTCACATGTCGCAGTTGCCCGGTGGCACCCTTGGAAATGTGGTCCCTTAAAAAAAAAGCAGCAACAAACGGGGCCCTGCCCCCGCCCTCTAACTCTCTCTCTCTCTCTCTCTCTCTCTCTCTCTCTCTCTCTCTCTCTTTGGTGCTTTGGTCTTATGACTCTTATCGCGCGAGACCTGAGGGTCACCGCGTTGTGTGGCACCGAACACGACCGTGTGTGACCGAACAACATATCCGCCAACAGTGGATGATGCAAACTTGGATGGCTCATTAAAAAGGTCTTCCAGTATTCAAAATTATTTCGCAACGATTCTTTCTTGGAGACAGGGTCCATTTGGCGTTTTCAGGTCATCCAGAATCCCAGATATTGGAGCCCTAAGGTGCGAGACCTGTGCGTTAGAACACCTTGCACAGCAAAGCTTCCACCAGACCCCTGGGCCGTTCTCTGAAGGCGAAACTCCAGGGATTTGCGTTCAAGAAGTCACCAGGAAGGTATTTATGATTGTTCTCCAGAGTTTGTTGGTTTGCCAATGTGATACGCTGGGACCATATGCATGTTTGCATGTTTGCTTTATTGTCTGTGTTGTTTGTGATGCATGTGTGTGTGTGTTTTTTGTGTCTGTGTGTCTGTGTGTCTGTGTGTCTGTGTGTGTCTGTGTGTCTATGTGTCTATGTGGCTATGTGTCTATGTGTCTGTGTGTCTGCCTGTGTGTGTCTATGTGTCTATGTGTCAATGTGTCTGTGTGTGTCTGTGTGTGTGTCTGTGTGTCTCTGTGTGTCTGTGTGTCTCTGTGTGTCTCTGTGTGTCTCTGTGTGTCTCTGTGTGTCTCTGTGTGTCTCTGTGTGTCTCTGTGTGTCTCTGTGTGTCTCTGTGTGTGTCTGTGTGTGTCTCTGTGTCTCTGTGTCTCTGTGTCTCTGTGGCTCTGTGTGTCTATGTGTCTGTGTGTCTGTGTGTCTGTGTGTCTGTGTGACTGTGTGACTGTGTGACTGTGTGTCTGTGTGTCTGTGTGTCTGTGTGTCTGTGTGTCTGTGTGTCTGTGTGTCTGTGTGTCTGTGTCTCTGTGTGTCTGTGTGTCTGTGTGTCTGTGTCTCCGTTCGTCGGTGTGTCTGCGTGTCTTTGTGTCTGTGTGTCTGTGTGTTTGTGTGTCTGTGTGTCTGTGTGTTTGTGTGTATCTGTGTGTGTGCGTGTGTGTGTGTGTAGGTGTTTGTGTGTGTGTGGGTGCGTGTGTGTGTGCCCTGTGTGTGTGTGTCTGTGTGTCTGTGTGTCTGTGTGTCTGTGTGTCTGTGTGTCTGTGTGTCTGTGTGTCTGTGTGTCTGTGTGTCTGTGTGTCTGTGTGTCTGTGTGTCTGTGTGTCTGTGTGTCTGTGTCTGTGTGTCTGTGTTGTGTCTGTGTGTCGGTGTGTCTGTGTGTCTGTGTGTCTGTGTGTCTGTGTGTCGGTGTGTCTGTGTGTCTGTGTGTCTGTGCGTGTGTGCGTGTGCGTGTGCGTGTGCGCGCACGCGTGTGTGTGTGTGATGTGTGTGTGTCTGTGTCTGTGTGTCTGTGTGTCTGTGCGTCTGTGTGTCTGTGTGACTGTGTGTCTGTGTGTCTGTTTGACTGTGTGACTGTGTGTGTGTGTGTGCGTGTGTGTGTGTGTGTGTCTCCGTTCGTCGGTGTGTCTGCGTGTCTGTGTGTCTGTGTGTCTGTGTGTTTGTGTGTCTGTGTGTCTGCGTGTTTGTGTGTATCTGTGTGTGTGCGTGTGTGTGTGTGTGTGTGTAGGTGTTTGTGTGTGTGTGGGTGCGTGTGTGTGTGTGCCCGTGTGTGTGTGTGTGTCTGTGTGCGTGTGCGTGTGCGTGTGCGTTTGCGTGTGCGTGTGCGTGTGCATGCGTGTGTTCGTGTGTTCGTGTGCCTGTGCCTGTGCCTGTGCCTGTGCCGGGTGCGTGTGCGTGTTGTGTTGTGTTGTGTTGTGCTGTGCTCTGTTGTGTTGCGTTGCGTTATGTTTTGTTGTGTTGCGTTGTGTTTGTATGTTTCGTTGTATGTTTGTGCTTGCGTGGTTGTGCAGGTGCTTGCGTGTTTGCGTGTTTGTGTTTGTGTTGTTTCTTGTTTCTTTGTTTATTTTCCGCGCACTGGCCTTGCATGTCCGCCACCCGGGCTGCATGGATGGATGGAAGGATGGATGGAGCAATGGCGGGATGGAGCGATGGAGGGATGGTGGACGGGTATGGATGGATGATGGATGGACAGGGAGAGATGGATAGATGGATTGCTGGATGGACGGAGGGATGGATGGATGGAGTGATGGATGGGTGGGTGGGTGGGATGGAATGATAGATGAGATGGGGTGGGAGAGCGTGCTGGCCAACGGACACACAGACACACAGTCACACAGACACACAGTCACACAGACACACAGTCACACAGTCACACAGACACACAGACACACAGACACACAGACACATAGACACGCACACAGACACACACACACACACAGACACACACACACACACAGAAACACAGAAACACAGAAACACACAAACACACACAAACACACACACACACACACAAGCACACAAACGCGCAAACGCACAAACGCACAAACGCACAAACACACAAACCCACAAACACACAAACACGCAACCACGCAAACACGCACACACACACAACACACACAAACACACAAACACACAAACACGCACACACACACACACAAACACACAAACACACAAACACACAAACACGCACACAAACACACAACACACAAACACACAAACACACAAACACACAAACACACAAACACACAAACACACAAACACACAAACACACAAACACACAAACACACAAACACACACACACACACACAGACACACAGACACACACACACAGACACGCACACACACAGACACACAGACACACACACACACAGACACACAGACACACACACAAGCGCACAAACGCACAAACGCACAAACGCACAAACGCACAAACGCACAAACGCACAACCGCACAATCGCACAAACGCACAAACGCACAAACGCACAAACGCACAAACGCACAAACGCACAAACACACAAACACACAAACACACAAACACACAAACACACAACCACACAGACACACAAGCACACAAGCACACAAGTTGACAAGCACACACACACACAGAAACCCACACCCACACCCACACCGCACACGCATCCGCGCCCGCACCCGCACTCGCGCCCGCGCCCGCCCGCCCGCAAGCACGCCCGCACGCACGCACGCACGCACACCATGACACACAGACAAACACACAGAGACAAACACCCACACACAAACAGACACACACACACACACACACCCGCGCACACACGGCGCGGCGCGGCGCGGCGCGGCACGACACGGGGCGGCGCGGCACGGCACTGCACTGCTCCGTGCCGCACGGCGCGGCGCGGCGCGGCGCAGCACGGCGCGGCACGGCACGCGCCCGCACGGCTCCACACGGCGCGGCTCGGCACCGCACCGCCCCGCCCCGCACAGCACTGCGCCGCGACGCGCCGCACCGCGCCGCGCCACGCCGCGGCGCGACCGCCCCGCCCCGCACCGCACCGCGCGCGCACCGTGCAACCGCGTGCCGCTCACCACACAACGCGCACCACACACCACACACCAACCACCACGCGCCACACACCACACACCACACACCACCCCCGACCACCTACCCACCGACCCCGCCGCGCCCGGACGCGCGAACGCGCACGCGCGCGCCATCATGAATGGCTTTGGCGAGAATGGGCTCAAACGCGGGCGATGCAAGGGATGCAGGCGATGCGCGAAACACAGGGGCGTCGGCGATTCTGGCAACGCAGTCGGGTTGCTGCTGATTATTTGCAGTGTTTTGATTGAGCCTTCCCCCGACTCGAGCTCGGCGGTGATGATGCACCAAAGGGGCTGGGCACGCAGAGGATGCGAGTCGGCTTCAAGGCATGCTGCTGGTCCTGGGAGCGGTCCTGGGATAGCTTCGAAGTCCTTGTAACGGTCCTGGTCAATCCGGCCTCGCCTTGCTATGTCGCCCAAAGGGGCGCATGCCTAGGCTTTGCCTTCCGGCCGGAGTCAACTTTGTGCGTTCGGCTGTGTCGCAGGACAAAAGGTGATCAGGATTCCAATCACTTCATTCCATCTACATCCCACGCCGGTCCGCTCTGCAAGAGGCTAGGACGGGATGCA